TTATCAAAGTTCTCTGGATGTTTTTTGCCTCAGTGGGCAAAGCTCTAGGGGCGTTTGGTGTGAATGCTTGGGTGTCTTTGGCGTCTTGGTTCCATCTAGAGTCTGTGTTTGATCTTATCTCTCTTACAACATCTTGTGTTTGCCAGTGGCCCTGGCACTGAGCTGAGAACAATGCCTCTGCTGGTAGACAGGTTGGGAGAGTCATGTCTGAATCGAGCCTTATAGTTTATATCTCTATTTCCCTCCCTCATCTGTGAGCGTCTTTGTAACCGCTATGCTCCTTGAAATACCTGAAATATGGATTTCCCAGGTAATTTTCTTCCGAACCCTTCTTCTTGCATATTGCACCAGATCCTGCATCAGAAGTATATCTTGTTCTCAGTATCTTCTCCTTCCCTTTCTTCTACACATAAAGGATCTCCACCGCAGAAAATTGTAAGTGAGAAAGCAATCAGCCTGTGTGAGAAGCCAGTTTCTATTTGAGGCACTTGAGTGTTTAGGTGCTGAGAGTTGTGATAAAAACAAATCCTGGCTTTAAGTTGCCAAGTAGTAACTATTAACCAATGCACTTTTCCCTTGGGCATTCCCAAACCTGATAAAATTATACTATACATAACATCTGTCTATTTTCATCCAAGTGACATATAGTTAAAAAGAATGCCAACGGCAATCTAGAGATGAACAGAAGCACCAAAGAAATTAAATCTCGCAGAAGCATAAGTGAAGGAATGTTAGTTAATCAGCTCACTTTTTATCTCCTCTCTCTTAAAGGAATGTCAGGTTGTTTCTTAGCAACAGCTGGTAATAATTACCTTTTTCCTTTTTGCCCTAAGTCAATAAAACTCAGCACATCAATCCCCCCCCCCCATGCTGAAACTGATGTAATAATTGTGGTTTGGAAAATTTTGGAGGAATTTGATAGCCAATACATTTCCTCAGAAAGAGAATCTTGGAAGCTCTGGCTAGATTTTATTTACTTACTTACTTACTTATTCTTCAATTATGTATTTGGTACATGGTCTCATTACACAGCTTGGACTCCTAGTGATCCTCCTGTTTTCAGCCTCCCCAGTGCTCGGATTATAGGCATGTGCCACCATGCCTGGACTCAGTTTCTGGCTCAGCATGCCACGGGGCTGGCGGGGCAAGCAGGATTGGGGATCGAATCCTGGTCCCTGCACTTGCCAAAGCAGATGCTTAGTCTGCTGAACTATCTCGCCAGCCCTAGATTTTTAAATTGATCCTACAGATGGGACTGGGAGGAGAGCTAGCAGGTTTAGGAGCTTACATCACAGCGATTAGCACACAGGTTTGGTAAGGCCACAGATTTAGGGCCAAGCCCTTCCCTAGCCATTAATCATTTGTTCTTGACAGATTTTTAGTTTCCTTATTCATAAAATGAAACTATCACTAGAATCTACCTCACAAAACATCATGATTCAATGAACAAATTCAAGTAAAGCTCTTTGTTATAATATCAGAAAATAGAAAGTATTCAACAAATGTTGGCTATATTATTGTTATGGATTTACATCATCACCAAGGAGGCTACTGAGTGATTCCATTTATGAGCCCTTACGGTGCCTTACTACACACCCACATCCGGGTGTGTGTCCTGCAGACACAGTATTCCTTCCTTTACTCAGCAAATAGAATTGTGGCTCTGGATAGAAATAATGTGTTGGGGAAATCATGCTCTTGAACATGCAGTTGAGTTGGTCAAGACCTTGACCTCTCCCCCAGAGTTGCAGCTCTCTGTAGGAATTTCCCTGCTGAGGGTAATCACCCTAAGTGGAAAGGATCTGAGGAATACAATTCTGTTTTATTGTAAAATAAATTTATCTTTCTCCACAATCCTCAGAATATTTATGTTACTTAGTTAAGCACATTTTGTTTCCTAAGTAATGTGGCATCCAAAGAAGTATAATCCTCTGAAGAGCTAGATTAAAGTATTTAACTCTCTTGAAGTAGAAAACTCCTAAGTACATAAGAATAATGGCCTTTTGCAGTTACATGAAGACAATATTCTGAGAAAGACAAATAATGGAGAAATGAGTTAACTACCAGTGAAAAGATTTTCAGATTATCTTTTATTAGATAATTTTATTATTTTACAATAGCCATTTGGATATGCAAATATGTATAAATAGATACAACATTCTAAAAACTAAAAAGCAGTAGTTTACCAAATCCGGTTGAGTTCACATCACTAAACATTTTATCAAATATAAAAATTAGTCAAATTGTTTCACAAGTTTATAAACAATCTTGGGTATGTGTATATCAACATTTTCAAGCTTGCTTTATCAAAAAGAGTGCAAATTCTATTCATGTGCTTATTGTGACTTCAAAAAGTAGTTCAAAGGGAGAATGAAGAAGTAGCGTTGCATTATAACACAGCATTAATTAATACTGACTTACTCTTGGACTGCATGAAAGAGCTTTATTATCACATGTGGTGAAAATATTAAAAATTAATACTCCATTTCTATGAATAAAACATAGAAAATAAAACTGTATTTTCTAGGCTAGCTAGTTACAATGAAAACTGCATTCATTCTTTAGATATTACTGACAACCCCCATTGTTTAAAAATATTTATAATACTTGAAATTTAAGAGAAACCCACAAGACCTACTCTTCTCCCAATACATTCACTGAATGCAGATACAATGAGCACATTCATTTTGAGCGTGCCCTCTATTTGTGTACTTTAAAATGACTATAATATAGTGCATTTGTATTTTCAAGTGGCACCAAAATTAAGGTGAATGATCTATGCAAAACCATCAGCCTGTTCATCTAGTAACAGTTGTCAAATGAAAAAAAAAAAAAAAAAGCCCTGAGTCAGTATTTTTGCAAAAGTAATGAAAGTGATTGCTGTGAAGTCATTTTATAACTTAGGAAATGGTTCAGACTGTCCAGTATTCCTTTGTTTTCATTTTGATTGAAGAGAAGTATAACCTTCATTTAGGTAATCCAATTTAGATAATTTTTTAATACTCGATTTCATTTAAATCCTCAGAATATCCTGATGATTGTTGAGCTGCATCTTCCATGTCTGTTAGGAAAGACAGATAACAAAATGCTTTCTATTTTTATTGCACAAAATGTATTTAATTTACATTGTTATAATTTGAAACTATTGCAGGCAGCCGAGTTAGATAAAAATATTATAGGCAGTCGGACAGGGCCAGGCCCTTAAAGGAGACAGCACAGAAGACAAAATGCCTTACAACGGTGGGAGGGGCGGATGTTCCTGCTGTGAACCAGACCTAAAGATCTAAAGGCCAAACAAATGCTAAAAGAGTAGCACCTGGGATTGATATTCTAAATAGGTATCGATCACCTGGAAAGACCCAAGTGAGTCACTAGCCCAACCCCCATCAGGAAGAGACCCTGTCCCAGCATTCCAACCCCCAACAGGGAGAGACCCTGTCCTGTATTCATGCCCTATTCATGCCCGCTTGCTACGTGACTCGCTTTCCCATTTGATATTGGATTTAATCAGTTTTACCTGAGCAATGGTGCTTGCAATCCCATTGGTTGACCATAGTTTTGTCTCACCCCACATCCACCTAAGTGAGTTCCCCCTTTCTCCACCTTAGCCCCACATGGTATAAAAGTCCCTGGAAGAGACAGCTTCTGGGGAAACTACCCGCTTGCCCCCCCCCCTCCTGTCTCTGTCTTGGACAGGAGCTTTCTTTCCCCCAATAAATATATTCTGCTCATAACCTCTGTTTGTTCCTAAAAATTCATTCTTTGGTTTTAGAGAACATGAATTCGTGCAGGTCAGGTCGGAGGATCGTTTTCCCATGTCATTTGGAGGTTCCCTAGATGGTTTGGAGGTCACCCACCCAAGCTCAGTTTTTCTCCCTGTATCAAAACTACATGGCAAAATCTTTTTCAATCAAGCATATATAACTGGAAAAAAAATTATTTACCTGTGCAGGGTCCTGCTTGAAATTTAATATCATCAATGGCAGTATCACTTCTTATCGACACTCCCCGAGTGGCTTCAAAGATTATCTAAAAAAAAATTAAATAAATAAATAAAAATAAAAAAAATTGAAGATTGAATTTAGAAACAGTTCTCAGATTAAACTATACAGGTTACAGCTGATCTAGGCTTCATGGGTTTGGAAGTTTAGATAGCTCTCAGGGTCCCTTTAAGGAAAAGGTTACATAATTAATTCAAATTTAGGCACAGAAAGACATTTATTTGGCATTTTAAAGACATCCATAATAAATTACCGGAGGCTTGGAGACTTAGATCGCTTTCTTTTTTTGCAGTACAGGGGATGAATTTAGGACCCTGCACTTGCCAGGCAAGCGCTTATTCTACCGAGTTATCTCCTTGGCCCCATTAGATCTCTTTCTTTAGACATCTCTTCAGAGATGCTTATCGTAAAGGTTTCTTTTTCTTTTTTCTTTTAAAAATTTTTATGCATTTGGTACAGGGTCTGCAGGGTCTACAGGGTCTCACTATGTAGATCAGATTACACAGTGATTCTTCTGTGTTCAACCTCCCAAGAGCCAGAATTTCAGGTTTGCGCCATCACGCCCTGTCTTAGTGCTTGCCGGGATTGTGGATTGTGGGGTGGGGGGCGGGCACAGCAGGCCAGGGATCTAACCTCAACCGGCCGCTGGCTCTGCCTAAGCAGGCGCTTTAGTTCGCTGAGCTATCCCGCTGGCGTGAAGGTTTCTTATGCTGAGGTAGCATCCTTTTCCCCACTTAGAGCGCTGTGCTCCCAGCATCCTGTAGCATCCACAGCACTGTGGACGTGAGAATCCAGGCAGCACACACTTCCCCAACGTCTCCATAAATCCACCTTGGGCACTTGTGCCAGATGGAAAGATTTAAGTTGACTGATGAGACTCACAACATCAGAAACACAGTTCAGGGAGGCAAGGAAATCTCTCAACATTAGGATCTGAGAAGAAAATGACTGATCAACTATTCTTGTTCTAGAAAAGGGGCTGGGGAGATGGCTCAGTAGAATAAGCGGTTGCCTGGCAAGTGCAAGGGCCTGAGTTCAATCCCTGGTTCTGGAAAAAAAAAAAAAAAAGAAAGAAAAAGGAAAGAAAGAAAGAAAGAAAGAAAGAAAGAAAGAAAGAAAGAAAGAAAGGAAAAAGAAAAAACAGATTGCCAGGTCTAAGGCTACCCTTGCTGTAACAAACTTCCAGTGACTATAGGGAGGCTTGAGCAAAGTGAAAATCGTCAGAAGACATATTTGCTCTACCCATTTTATGGGCAAATGACTTCCCATTGGACTAGATTATGATTTAAATAAAAAAGAAAGGGGCCAGGGAGATGGCTCAGTGGAATAAGCGCTTCCCTGACAAGCACAAGGGCCTGAGTTCAATCCCTGGTTCCACAAAAAAAAAAAGAAAAGAAAGAAAGAAATCCAACTTCATCTAAATTAAATATGAATTTATTTACTTATTTTTGTCTTTTGAGACAGGGTTCCACTATGCAGTTAAGGCTGGCCTTGAACTTGCTTAAGTAGCCTAGCTTGACCTCAAACTCATAGTAACCCTGGCTCAACCTCCCAAATGCTGGGATTACAGGTATGCACCACCATGCCTGGCCTTACATAAGAATATAAATTGAATAATAACTTTTTTGAAATCAGTGACTCAAAGAAACTTTAGCGATAGATATATGGCAAAATACAATTAATTAAAATTCTGATGACATAACCTAGAATGGTCTTAGGTATTCATTTGATTGGCTAAGGACACCCAAACAGCTGGTAAAGAGTTTCTGGAAGAGAGTGGCTTTTGAATCAATGGACTAAGAAAGGTCTGTCCTCAACCAACATAGATGAGCACCATTCTAGCTGTTGAGAGCCCAAGTAGAAGAAAAGTTAGAGGAAGGTGAATTCACTGTCTCTTTTGGAACCAGAGCACCCTTTTTCTCTAGCCTTTGGATATCAGAACTCCAACCTCTTAGGCTTTCAGACTCTGAGACTTACACCGGTGGCCTTCCCAGCTTTGTAGGCCTTTCACCTCACACTAAGAGCTATACCACTGGTGCACCAGTTCCAAGCCTACAGGTTTAGACTAGTCAATGCTACTAACTTTTCTAGTTCTCTACCTTGCTTGACACATTACAGGAATTCTCAACTACTATAATTTCACAAGATAATTCATATAGTAAATCCTTATCTGTCTGTCTGTCCATTCATCCACCCACCCACCCACCCACCCACCTACCCATCTATCCATCCATCTCTATCCAGCCAGTCAGCAGGCTATTGATTCTGTTTCCCTGGAAAAGTGATTAGTATTCAACCTTAAACAAAAAATCCAAATAAGTGTCAACGTAAGACTGTATCTTAATACATCTAGGTAGGAAGATATGTGAGCACAGATATACAGTTTTAGTTTTAGAACAACAGTGAAATCTCTTCTTTAACTTCAAACTTTGCAATGGAAATAGAAAAGTTTTAAATGAATTATACTCTGAATAATCTATGATTTGGCCACATTGAATGGCATATTGAACATTGCTCTGTTTCCCTTGAAATTTCAAACTATCCCACAGCATCCCTCTAAATGCAGTTGAGTGTCTCAGGCCATAGCTTGAGAAACAAGAACATATTTTCTAACTTAATTTTATATTTATTCTGTTTCTTCTATAAATAAATAGGGCTGGTGAGATAGCTCAGTGGTCTAAAACTCCTGCTTAGGCAACTTCAGGGACAGCAGTTCGATCCCTGGCACCACATGCCACGCCAGCCTGCCCCCAGGGAAGGTTGAGCTGACCACACACACAAAAAAAAATTGCCAGGGAGATGGCTCAGTATAATAATTGTTTCCCTGGCAAGTGCAAGGTTCTGAGTTTAATCCCCAGTTCCACCAAAAAAAAAATAAATAAAAATAAAAAAGAAATAAATAAAAAAGAAAAGAAAGAAATTAAGGGGCCAGGGAGATAGCGCAGCCATTTGGAGACATGGTTCTTAGTATACCTGTGAGTACTCAGCGCACAGCACTTCCTAGTAAAAATCATAATTAATGATACAATGGATGTAAACATTTCAGTGAGCTGAGAATTTATCTAATCCTTTCCTTCAGTAATACCAAAATCTAAGAAAGCAAGGTAGAGAACATCTAAAAGCAGAAGGGGAAGGATAATGAAAGGAATCAAAAGGAAATAGAATGACTTTGTATTTTGGATCAATAGTCAGATTTCTGCTTAGAACCAAATCAAATCCCTTAGGAAGGAGAGTGATTTAGGTTTTTCCCTTTGATGTATTCCTCCCACAAGGATAATCTGATGATTGACAGGTCCTTATGAGAACACTCACATATTTTGCCCAAGGACCAGCCTCAAAAGGCATCAACACTGCAGGATTCCAAGCCCCATCCACGCCCGCTCACCTCCACTGAGATGGGCATGTCTACTTCCCTTGCTCTGCCCTGACTCCAGTCTCATATCTAGTGCTCACTGGAAACACTCACTTCCACTTCTGATATTTTAACAAAACTTAGCATGGCCACAAATGCATCAGTTTCCTTCGTGCACACACTGTCCTTAGTCCAGATCTTCTCTGCTTAGTTTTCTTCATCTATCAATAGCATCTCAGTTCACTGTAGCAACTGCTCAGGCCAAAATCTGTGGCATCATCTCGACTTCTCTGTTTCAGTCCAGCTCCACAGTGTGCACATCTGAAGTCCTCTGGGCTTGTGACGACACCTCACAACTGCTACTCGGCCCAGGCCACCATTCCTCTTCCCAGGTCTCCTTCCCCCTCTGCAGTGTGCTTCCTACATGGCAGCTGGAGTGAACGTTTTGCAGTCAGCTCAGATGAACTTTTCCAGGCCACCTGATGACTTTCTGTTGCTCTTGGAAGAGATTTCGAACTCTTGCCCTTCCCTCCAGGGCCCTCCATGGTTATCCCAATGCTCCTTCGGTTGCATCACCTGACTTACTTGACTTCTTCCTTCGCTTGCCTCCTTCCCCTCTACAGGGCACAGTGTGATGTTTGGATATATGTGTACGGTGCAGAAGAAGTAAATTAAACAGTATATCTATTGTCTTGCTTACTTAAAATTTTTATGGTGAGACATTTGAAATTCATTGTTTGAAATACATAGACTATTATTTTACTATTGTGTGGTACTAGAATTTAGCATATTATTTATTGTTGAGTATAGACACCCTTCTGTGCAATAGATCTCGACACATATTCCTCCTGGCTACCTGGGACTTTATAGTCTTTGACCAACAACTCCCTATTCTTTCCCTCTGCCTACCACCACCAGCCTCAGGTAGCCCTCTGGGTTTGCCTGATCTTTCCCCTAATCTGTGTCATATGAGATCAATTGAAAAACTTAAACAGGCCAGAGCTCTATAGGTGGCCAGCATATAAAAGATGGCCAATCTTTGTGCACTTGAGTGTGACTGCATTTTATTAGACATTAAGATGCTTGGAACACTTGGTTTAGTCTGGTCCCCTGAGGTTCTTTGGGACTACTGAGGGACTCACTAACTCCAGAGGAGATTCTTATCTGTTCCATCTAAACCAAAGGGGACAGTGTGGAGTCTTCCTTCCAGAAAATCTCATTATCCTGTAACCTCTTGGATTTGAAACCCAGATGCCTCACTGTTCCAAGAAGCAAATCTAGTGTATGAAAAGTCCCATGCTTGAGCCAGAGCTGAGAGTTTTAAAAAAATATTTGTGTTGGATTGGGGGGGTTACATCTCAGTAGCAGAGCACTTGCCTTGCATGTGTGAGGCCCTGGCTTCCACCCTGTATCACGATAAATAAATGAAAGAATAAATGTTCCAGCACCACACCCAAAGAGTCAGATTCATTTTGTCTACCATGAAGATTCTCTATCTTAGGATGTATCAGAACCACCTTGTGGACTTACTCAAACAGATTTCTAGGGCCCCAGAATTTCTGATGCATTGTTTCTGAGGTGACACCCAAGCACAAAAATTTCAGGTGAACTTGCATTACAGGCATTGTACATCCTACTGGTATCTGGACCATGTATTGAGAACCCTCTGTTAAGGTTAAAAGTATGAATGTTCTAACCAAATCAAGCCAACATTTCTGATAAGGACAGAATGTATTAAGTTCTTGAGAGACCTACTTTCTTTGTATAACAGACATACCACTCTCAAAATTATTGACGGGGCTGTTATTCCTCACTAAATTTCTCAAAAGTTTATCTATGTTGCACTAAATAGCCTATGTTGGACAGTGGCATACCTTCCTTTTGTCCCTGGCTATGTAGCAGGGTGATACCTGGGTGGCACTGTATCCTGGCCACCTGAGCTTTTCTAATTCCTCCCAATTTACAGATGTAAAAAATTATTTTTCAGTTGTGGGTGGCACAAAATAAAGCCTTCATTTTGGACAACTCTTTCCAGGAAGAGCTGGGCTTAGACCAGGCAGCTAGTGGCTAAAGCTAAGAAATTTTGGCCAAGGAAGTTGTCAGCCAGAAGCAAGAATGAGGAGGGAGCCAGGCTCAAGAATTCTGCAGAACAGTTTTTTTCTTTTTGAGACAGGGACTCACTGTGTGGTTCAGGTTGGCCCTAAATTTACTACGTAGCCCAGGCTGGCCTCAGACTTGCAGTGGTCCTCCTGCTTCAACCTCCCAAGTTCTAGGGTTCCAAGTGTGTGCTACCATGCCCGGCTCTGCAGAGAAATTTCAAAAACAGGAGTATCACCCCAAATCTTTCTGCAGCATTGGCCCACAATAGGCAGGTGGAGTTGGTGGTTATCAGAAGGCTACCCTGTGGAGGACCACCTGGGTGACTCCTTGAAAGAGTAGCAGGTGCCTCCATTTTGGCTGAGCCTAACCCTGTTTTCATATCTTGATATGTACAGAGCTGGCTAGGACTTTCCTTATTCCTTCCATCAGCTTTAAGCAGTGCATTTCAGTCTAGCTGAGGCGCTGGTGGTAGTGTTTGAAGACAGCAGCAACCTCCGCCGGTTGCTCTTTGTACGAGCTGGGATGAGGTGGGATGTAGAGCCAACGATCCATGCTGCTGGCTGCGACTGAGCCTTGAGATAGAGGCTATGGCTTCCTGGGACTTGAAAGATCACACATCAGAGCTAAAGCACAAACCCCAAAACATTAGATACTATCTCAATTGTGTATTGCAGATTACTCTCTGCAAATCCTACTCTCTGCATACTGCAGAAACAAATGCAAGCCTTCTACCTAGCCCAGCACAAGGCATTCACCCACTTCCTATCATTCTCACAGTCACTCATCCACAGGCCATTCCTTTCTTCATGAATTAATAAAACCTGGGTTTGGCCATGGGTCAAGTTCTTTGCTCCAGATAGCCATCATCATGGCTACCCTTTGGCTCCCCATAACTACAAATATTCCTTAGTGTCTTTATTGTCACCATGGGTTGCACTGGTTGTGACAGATTAGAATTAACTTGATGTGATTCCAATAACATATCCATAGGATTACAAACATAAGCCTCCCCAACTGAGACAAGGACCAGGAGGGGCTCCCTGTACTATCTTTGTTCTCTAGGCTACACTGACTGCCCATCTCACCTATTGGAATTTAAAAAGATCTTTCCTGTTGCTGCCTAGATTTCCTTGTGCTCAAGATCTAGGACAGAGGTTCCTATGGGACATGATTGGGCAGAGGTAGGACAGGGACTTGGGATCAAGACTGTTTACGTCAATGCAATGATGGGAGTAGAAGCTAAAAACAACTCACTCTGGACCATACACACTCTTAAATAGAGGCGCACAACAAAAGCCCTTGCGAGCACGTGGGTAGCGATGCATGAGGGACACAGCTGCAGCTGCTAATTAGGCAACACCATATTTAGAAGGAAGGACAACTTCGTTTGGGAGCTTCGCAGGACACATGAAACAGTCTCAACATTTATAACGTACCAAGACAAAAATAGGCTTTCATCACTGCATTGCAAAAAAAATTACTTCATGCAGAAATATCCAAAGCGTTCTGTCCCCAACTAATTTCCCATTCACAGTTGAGATTTAATCAATGTAGAAGCTAATTATGTTTACTCTTAAACTAATCCTGCTTTTGTCTGTGACCCTGAAAAAGGACAACATACTCTCTTGGTGCTTTTGCTAGCAAGTAAAAAGCAGGGCCCGCGAGGTGGACATGCCGGCTCGCTCAACCCACATCTCTCCCGCTCACCTGGTGCGGCTGCGGGCAGCTGTACTCAACCAGGGCTCGCAGCCAGGAAACGCTCTGCTCGCCTCTTCGTCTCCACAGCAGAGACTCATCGCCGGCTTTTTCTTTTCTCAGGTACACACTCAGCAGACCAGTCCCCGCTCCATACATGTGGTAGAAGAAGGTCAAGCAGTGTTTTCCGGGCACACCTCGCAGAGGCCCGGACAGGAGGAGTGCTTTCTGCCCATACACCATGTGCGAAGCCTCGATGTACATGTAGTAGCCTTGGGAGAATGCAGAGCAAGGATTGTTAAAAAGGACACAAGGCACATCTGCTCCTCTCCCACTGTCCCTGGAAACATGGTGACTTAACAGCCGTGCCGAGAAAGAGTTTTGTAACTCAGTGGGATAGGTAGGACCCAAGGAGAATTGAATGATACAAGAATTAGACTATTAAACAATTTTTTAGACATGCAGTGATTTACAATCCTGTTTAACAGGAATTCACATACCATTATTTCAACACTAATGTGGCGACTTTCACATCACAATTTATCTTACTAATTCATAGGCAACAGCTTGAAGCTTTCAAATGCTTACCCCACACCCCCAACCCATGTGTTCAAATCCTAACCCCAAAGATTGGTCAGAAAAAGGTACTTTTTTTTTTTTTTTTTTTTAAAGCAGTGCAGAAGGCCAGTGCCCCACAAGTGAGATTGATCCCCTTACAAGAGAGCCCAGGTTCTCCCTTGTCTCTTCTGCCCTTTGAATGCAGGAGGAGAAGATGACATCGATGAAGAAAATGCCCTCTCCCAGACACCAGGCCTGCTGGCACCTTGATCCCGAGCGAGTAACTTTCCCTTGTGTATAGGCCGCCCTGTCTGTGTTACTTTGCTGGAGCAACCCAAATGAACGGAGACACAGCCTCCCCCTGAGTCTCAGTGCAGCTATCCTGCTTGCTTAGACCCAGTACCACAGTGTCCTGTGCCACCGTCTCCTCTCGTCCTCCACTTCCAGACTCAGGAATTCCTGTTGGTTCCACCCTCAAGCATGTGTCCAGTGCCAGTAGTGGAGGAGGGTGTCTGGACTCCCAGCATTTGAAAGGTTGTAGGATGGTGAGTGTGAGGCCATCCTGGTGTATGCACTGAGTTCAAGTCCAGCCTTGAGTATATAGTAAAAAGCTATCTCAAAAACATTAAAAAAGCAAAGGAAGGAAGAGATGTCTAGAATCCTCACTTTTCACTACTTACACAAGCTGCTATCATTTCTTGCAGGTACTAATGTAACACCTTCCCAGTTAGTCTGTCACTTCATTCATTCATTTATTCATTTTGGTTTTTTTGAGACAGTGCCTTACTGCGTAGCCCAAGTTGGCCTCAAACTCACAGGATCCTCCTGCCTCAGCCTCCCAAGTGCTGGATTACAGGTGTATACCACAATCCCTGGCTATTTCAGTTATTTTTATAGCATTTAATTGCCTCTTAGCATACTACATAATTCCCTGATCTTTATTGTCTTTCTGTTTCCTGCCTCTAAATTATGAAAAATGCAAAGATTTTCCTTATTTAGTTCACTGTCTTCCTGAGACACTGGCACTAGTCTAGTTTTTAGTCTTGACTTTCCAGATACTGTTTGTATTTTAAGGATACACATAAAAGACAATACCAAGTCAGAGCAATGGGGCCAATGCCTTTACTTAAAATTTACTTATTTAAAAAAGATTTTAATTCAAATAATGGAACTAAACAAAAAAGGGGATACAGATGAATGTCCATTTTGTATGTGTGCATTCAAAATGGTTGGGATAGATAAATAGTTATATTCTCTTAAGGAATAGAGGGATTTGTTCTGATACTGTTTGTAAATAGGATATCAAGTCTGCATCTTGTATAGCAATTAACCACTAGGAAGAATGCATGCAATGTATTAATTATTAAAACTGTCCTACCAATTTGGGTTGAAACCGTCTCATTACTATTTGTTTCTCAATAAAATTATGGGGACGGGGAGGATGCAGTTCAGCGTTCTGATGGTCCAGGGGATTCCAGAGTACCATCCTTCACATCCTAATTCTAAGAAGCAGGATTAAGGGAAGGAAAGAATAGCAAAGCACATGCACTGGCTCTCAAGGAAATTTCTAGAAGCTGCCACATGCTATTTCTGTTTGTATTTTAATGGCTAGAATAATCAAGATATAGTAGTTAATTGTGTTATGGACAACATTAGGCCCAATTAGAAAATGGAGAGCTCTGTTACTAAGGAAGGAAAAAAGAATAGATACGGGCTAGGGTAGGCAAAAAGTTGTTTGTGCTACTGTATCATATTTTATAGTGTCTGTTATGTATTGAAAACAATGTTGGGTTGTTTATAATAATCATCTTGCTTGTTCACTAAAATATGTGTCTTAGATACTATTTTTCCATTTTTGTAATTGAAGAAAGTCAAGTAACTTGGCTGGGATCACATAGTTAACAGGTAGCAAAGCTGCAACTTCAGTGCAGGTTCATGTGATTGCAAATTCCATGTGCTGGCTGACTTGTGAGCCAGGTTGGCAGAAAACAGCAGCAGCCCAGGGACCTATCTTTGTGATTTTTTTCACCAAATGTAGAGCTAACTCTCTGCTGCTGCGAGTTTGGCTGGCACCAATCCTATGTATATAGAACAGTACCATCAAAAGTATTACTGTCTATTATTAAGATAGACTATGAGGGTAATAGATGATAATACAATCAGAGCAGCCTATCATTGCTAAGTTTCATTTACCACCAATCTAAGGTTTTCTTTTTCAGTCCTGGTTTTCTGACCCCTCAGGTAAAGAGCAAAATAGACAATCTGAAATTATGAACTTGAAAGGAAATTTTATATCAAAAGGTTTTAAATTTAAAAAAGAAATGTTTAGCATTGAGTAGGAAAGGAAACCTTTTTATCTAGCATATACTGAGATTTCAAAGGTGTTTTTTCTTTTGCTAAAATAAAGCAAGAGGAAATGAACATAATTAATTTTAGATCATAATAGTAGAATGGGTTACTGTGAGAATCTGGTATTTTCTCTTTAAAAAAATGAGCTTTGTGTCTGAATTTATTTAGATGCTTCTGGATTTGAATGTAATATATTAAAATTGCATGCTTTGGTGAAGAATAAAAAAAAAAAAAAGATTTTAACAAGCCAGGCATGGTAGCATATGCCTAAACCCCTCCCTACTTAGGAGGCTGAGGCAGGAGGATCACAAGTGCAGGCTCAGCCAGGGTAACTGAGCAAGATCGTGTCTCAAAAAAGAAAAAAGGAAAAAGGAAACAGAAAGTCTTGGGATATAGCTCATTGCTCCCTGAGTTCAAGCCTCAGTATTGAAAACAGCCCACAAAAAGCAAACCCATGAGTTTGCCTGCTGATCAGAATTTGGCCCCTTGCTGCCCAAAGCAATTATTCCTTGTTATTCTGCTTTTTCCTCTTGGCTTGCCCACGAGACTTCCCCTTCTGAGGAAAGATCAGAGCTTCATGGAGGGCGAGGCTAGTCTGCCTCACACGTGCTTGGACACAGAGAAAAGCCCTGGGTGTAGATAAGTTTTACCACATTACAGCCTCAAGCACTGTTAGTTTTCACAAACAAAAGCTCTGGACAAGAGCCAGGAAGTCCCAGCACTGACACTTTGGACCTGCTGAGGCACTGCTGCCCCAGACGAAGGCATCCTGGCTGGGGAAGGGATGGTCGGCTGGAGAAAACAAACTGCTACACAATAGTTAGGATAGATATACAGCTACTGTCTTTTAATTCAATGAGAAGAAAGATTTGATTAATAGTATTTGGACAGGATATCATGTCTGCATCTTGTACTACAAATAACCACTATGAAGACAACATTATGCAATGTATTAATTATTGAAACTGTCAGGCCTGGGGAGAAAGCTCAGTAGAATAAGCACTTGCCTGGCAAGCACAGGGTCCTGAGTTCAATCCCCAGTTCCGCCAAAAAAAGAAAAAAAAAAAAAAAAAAAAAAAAAAGAAAGAAACTGTCCTACTAATCAGTTCTGAAACTGTCTCATTGCTATTTGTTTCTCAATAAAATTAATTTTTTAAAAAGAAAACAAACTGCTTTTCCTATATGGCTCACTGCTTAACATTCAGGGGTTACAGCACGTTTGCTGGGAGATCAGAGTCCTGTCTGTCCTTTGCGTCACAGCTGTCACGTGCACATGTGCAGATGCACACTGCATCCTTAATCTTGACTTACGTACGAAACAGCTGTTTCTCTAGCTCCTGGCCAGCTTTTTCAGGGCTGGAAGGAGCCGTGTGGTTTGGTGAAGAGCTCATGTGGAAGGAGCAGCTAGTTGCATCCAGTAAACTGGATGATGAGGTCTAATAACTGGGGACACACACACACACACACACCCTTTGGCAAGGACAGTTACTCAAGGTGTCTCTCCAAAATGTTTCTTTATCTTTAAATGATTTTAAAAGTTTTTCATAACTGAGTACGGAACTCCAGCTTTGGAAGGTGGTAAATTCTGGAGACAGATGGTAGTGACTGTGCGCAATGATGCGACGGAACTTTGTGCCACTGAATTATACGTTCAAAGTGGTTCAAAGGGCAAATTTTATGCATATTTTACCATAATTTTTTTAAAAGTTCATCCTGCAAATTTTTCTGTATAAGTAGGACCTGACAATACTAGAAACTAGCATAAGTTATGAGATGACTGGAGACACTGGAGATTTTGATGATCTAAAGCTAGTTTTATGATTTCAAACTAGTGGGGTAGTACAGTTACACGTCTGCATGTCAACAACCAAAATTGTTTTCTCAGTTACTCTTCTCTCATTGCTGGGACAAAATACCCAACACCCAAAGTGAAGGAAGGAAATGTTTATTTAGCTCACAGTTGGTGGAGGTTTCAGCCCATATTCAGCTGACTCCAAGGCAGAGCGGCACATGGTAGAGGGCAGCCATTTATAGTGGTGGAAGGCAGCAAAACAGCAAGAGCAAAACGAAGAATAACAGCAACAATGGCAACAGAGAGCAAGTCTGTCTCCTTTATGTTGCATTCAGGCTATGTGCCTCAGGCTGGGTGTAGTACTCACACCCATAATCCCAGTAGCATTTACACCCATAATCCCAGCAGCACTCACACCCATAATCCCAGTGGATCATGAGCTAATCACAAACTCTAGAAGTATACCCCATGATTGCATGAGGCTTTGGGGAGACAACTAGACACAAACCATAACAGTTGTTAATAGGTAAGGACTTAAGCCAGGCCCAGTGGTGCAGGCCTGCAATCCCAGCA